ACCACTGAGCTACAGCCCAACTCCTGCCCTGCCCTGCTTGGAATAAGGATGATGTGATACAGGTGAAGGGGAACAACATTCTAATAAAAGCAGCATGCTCATAGCATTTGTTGTATCACCACTTGGCTGTTGATTGTTATATCCAATGTTTCTCAACCTTGGTAACTTTTAAGTTGTGTGGCCTTCAGCCCCCAAATTCCCCCAGCCAGCTTGCTGGCTGGGGAATTCTGGGAGCTGAAGTCCACACATCTTAAAGCTGCCAAGGTTGAGAAACATTGGATATAACAATCAACAGCCAAGTGGTGATACAACAAATGCTATGAGCATGCTGCTTTTATTAGAATGTTGTTCCCCTTCACCTGTATCACATCATCCTTATTCCAAGCAGGGCAGGGCAGGAGTTGGGCTGTAGCTCAGTGGTCAAGTACATATTTTGTGTGCAGTGCTGGGACAGAGACCTATCCAGAGACAGAAAGAAGAGCTCCAATTGCTGGGTAAGCAACACTGAGCTACAGGGAGCATAGTGGAGTCCTCAGGGTATGATCTGTTACCATGGGGTCAGTGTGCCAGGAGGCATTGGACTGATTGCTCCCTTTTCTTGGAAAGTACTGTATATAGAAGGGGGTTCCCTGACCTTGCTTCTGGGATATTGTTTAGATGTCCAAAATAAAGGATTGATTTCTTTGGTTAAGAAAATACTCCAGAAGAATAGCAAATAAGTGTCCTTTCTATTTTCCAGTAAAAAGATACAAATAGTCTCATAGTTCCTAATTGTACTACCTATCAAATTTTAACCAGCAACTCACACTAAAGTTGTGCCTTGGGAGAGGGCATGGAAGGTATTTTAATTGAATGAATGAATGAATGAATGAATGAATGAATGAATGAATGAATATATGCAGGGTATATCAAAAGTCAGGCTCCATAGACAATTTATTACATAAATTACATTAAAAGTTCGAATTGGTTGCCATTTTCTTCTGAATACTTACTTATTTGTTTGACACATGACCTTTGAACATTCCTAAGTAGAATAACATTTTCTCTGAAAAAAAAATGATAAAACATATTGTGATTAGCCTATGAGTATACTATGGATATACAAAAGTCCCAATACTTTTGGTATACCCTGTATGTATGAGTGTGTGTGTATGTGTGTGGCATGAAATCAACCTTATTTTAGAAAAATGTGGCTTCAGACTCTTTCTGGATATAATTACCACAGCTTAACAAAAATTTGATAAGCAATTAAACCAATATTTATTGTTATTGTTTTCAATTATCGTTTGGAATAGGGTGAAAGAACTTCCATCAAAGCAATTTTGTGTCTTTAATAGAAAAACACTGAACTTTTTTTATTGTTTTTAAGGACCGAGAAGCTGGAATATGCATGTCTAAGATGGAAACATCCACTTCAATGGCTGCGGGGAAAAAAGAAGAGAAAAGTGTTCTTCTGGAAGACAATGGCTTTAATGAAACAACAAAAAAAACAGTTCCTTTAGCAGCTGCAGCAACAACAGCAGTGGTGACTCAAGGAGGTACTTTGTAGTTCTTTTCTGCATTTTGAAAGCAAGAGTGGGCTTCATTTTAAATGCTTAGGATGTCCTATGTCAGAGGCGTATAGCCTTCTGCTAAGATGCTAAGGTAGTTGGGGCTATTGGTCTTAGTTCCAGGAAGTAGAAGTTGAGTGTTTACAGATCTCAGGTAATCACAGAATGGGCACATTTGGCTAGACAACTCTGACTCAAAAGTGGAGCTCAGATGAAGGCTATTTGATCCTAATACGATTTCTGCATTCGTTTACTCCAGAGATAGTACTGATGATCAGTTGTTGTTGTTTACTGGATGTCAGAGTGAAGGGGAAAATTTTAGTCCATCTTTAACAAAGAAACAAACATGCTGTTTTAAAATACTGTAATTTACAGGTTATGCAGTTTGTTCTGACTCCTGAATTTTGTTTTCAGAAGCAAACACTCTCTAAAAATAAGAGAAATGTGAGGCTTTGGGATAAAGATCAAAGGTAGATATCCAGCCTTGAGGCCTGCAGAGTGTCACATTTCTATCTCTATTTAAAAAAATTGCCCAAATTATTTCTTTTGCATGAGGTGGATGGATAACAGAAAAAAAGAAAAGAAAAAGGGATGAATTCACATTATGAGGGCTTCACAATGACTAATGTCAACTAGAAAGTAACTCAAGGAAAAGAAATCTGAAAAGACCAGTGATGCTTCTTAAAGTAAAACAGCTAACATTAATTAAAGGAGGGTTTTGCAAACCTAAATCTCCTGCAAGGAAGTGAGAAGCACTGTTGCTGTTGGAAATATATAAAAGTCAGCCTGAACTTAGGCAGCAGCTTGATGACATGTTTGGATTGCTTTCCTCTAGATCTCCACCATGCTGAGGAGCAAATGGTTGGGGCATTTATACAGTTGATATCAGAATGGATGAAAATCCTATCTGGTATTTCATTTCTGTGGGAACAGCGGGGTTTGGTTCTGTGTAGATTTCTCTACAAAGACTGTGGTAAAATTGGATTTCAATTATTTTCTTTGTAACCCTGATTAGAATCTACTGAAGATATAAAATGAGTACTGACATCAACCTTCCTTAATTTGGCATCCACTGTTGAACTGTTGCTCAGAATTCCAAGCCAACCTAACTGTTTGTCATGACAGCTTGCAATTTTGTGAGTTACAGTCTAACACAACTGAAGGACACCAGTTTGGGGAAGGATGATCTTCCTAAACCCTGCCTATTCACTTTAAATGTGCAGTCTGATGTGGCCCTTTGAACTTCGCATCTATGGAAAGCTGACTGAGAAAGTGGTGATATTTGTTGTTTTTGGATGGAAACAAAAAATAAAAAAAATAGGATTTGTGCTTGTGTTGGTTCGATACCAACCCCCTCCTTGTTTTTGTTATGTGGGATAGAATAACCTTTCACAGCAGGAACTGAAGGAACACATTAGCTGGGACTTGACCAATGGAATGTGACAAGTGGCATCTTCAGCTGTCTAAACTTTTTTCAGCTGCTTTGTGGTCTGTCAAAAATATTTCTCATTGCTGGACAAGCTCTGCTTCAGTATAGATACATTTCCTCACTTTTTGACACTTTATATTTACATCTAAGCAAAATAATCTAGGAAAATAATTGTTTTCCTTTCTCTTCCTTTTGATAGATAACTTTACTTTTGACAGCAAGAAAGTTTCCCTACTTTTTTCCCTATAGGGATGCTTATCGTTCCAAAAGGTGTAACCTTAGCTTTCCCTTCTTCAAAGGAAACTCATTAGTTTTTGCTCTACCATATTCAGTTATAGAGAATAAGTTTCTGGGGTTGGAAGGAATAGGGGAGAAATAAAAATTATACTGCTCTGAGTTATGTTGTCTCTTAGATGACACTGATTGGAACAAAAGGTAGTCAAAAACTGTGGAATTTTAAAGGAAGATATTTCTATGTCTAGTCTAAGGACTATGAAGGACTATGAGGACTATGAAGTTTGGATTCTGGGTGCAAAAAGGATCCTTTTCTACATCTGGAGAGTGCAGATTTGTTGACATGAAAATTGGGGGAGGGGAAAAAAGATGCACATATATGAGCTTCACAGTGTTTTTTAAATAATATGTCTCAGGAGAGGAAAACACTTATTTGTTTGTTCAGGCAGCTGAGAGCCCATCTCTGGAAGAGAAGAACTGAACTTTTGGGTCTGGTTTTCCCCTTAACCTGTTTTTAAATCTGTGAAAGGTTCATTAAGCCCACTCTTTCTTAACTTTCCTGCCAAGAAGGATTAAAAATGTTGCAGTTATTTCATAATACATTCTTTACATTTTTAAGATTTTTTTTTTTTTTTGCAACCTCATTATACTGACGATCTCATCATAAAAAATTCTGACCTTAGATTTTCTGTGTGTGACACATTTGGTCATTCTTTAGACACTCTTCTGCTCATTAACCTGTGAAGAAAACTAGGCTGCATGTCAGTAATAGGTAATCTTTTTGTGGTTGAAGATTGCATTCCCCCCCACCCCAGTGGCACTACGGTAAAATGACAGTGTCTCTGGTGGGGAGGAGCCAGATAATGCAGATTATCATTATGCTACATTTCAACAGTGATGCTGGAAATTTCTGGGAGCTGCAGTGATATATTCCAAGGCCTTAAGTTGCCAGCCCCTGCCATACATGGTTGAAGGGAACTCTGACTTTACTAATGGCAGCTTCATATTTTGGGCTGCACAGAATCTGTGATTCCAGGGAATCACAAGCTCACGCACGGCTAAACTGAAGCCATAAATTTACCTGTACTGAAGTATACTAGCTACATATAGAATATTCCTTAATATAGTACTGCACTCAGTATTCACCATTCCCGAGGATATCAGGTCCATCCCGTAATAACTTTTTCTGAATGTAAAATAAACTATTTTCTTTATCTGAATCATTAAACATGCAGCTAAGCCAGTTAAGTCAAACTACTTAAAATTTAGAACCTGTGGCCTCACTTTCAAAATACCAGACATTCAGACTGCATTTATGTATCCAGCAGCAATTAGGAAATCTTGTTTGTTAGATTCCCAACCAAAGGACTACAAATGTTTGATACTGTAGCTGCCTATTCCACAGAATTTTTCTAATACAGTTCAGGATTGTTAGTAAAGATGGTTGTAAAATATGGTACTGTATCAATATGAAAGCTGTAGGAAATCAAAAGATTCCAGAAATGGGAGTGTTTGTGGTGGGGAATCAACATTTGTATAATGACCAGCTCAACATAGTGATTGAGGCCCCACCTCTTTTGCATAGGTGTTGGGCACAGATTGACTGCAACCCCACACCACCCACCTTACAGATTTTGATCTGTTCTCCCTGGGTGCCCTGTCCAGGAAAAGGCAATGTCAAACCATCTGGCTGCTACCATCTAGAAAATTATATGGGTGTGTCATGAAATTACCAGAAGCCAAGTTTGGCATGAAGATAACTTGATCTTTGTATTATATCAGTCATACTCAGGCTAATTATATCAGGCACACTCAGGTGGGAAGTACAGGTAGTCCCCAGGTTAAGAACATCCAGGTTACAGATGACCCATAGTTAAGAATAGAGCCTATTGAAGCAAAATATGAGTTAAATACACAATGGTTCAAGTTAAATACACAATGGTTCAAGTTAAATACACAATGGTTCAAGTTAATTACACAATATACTTATACATTATTATACAATAATTCTGTTCCAGTTTACATACAAATTCAACTTAAGGACAGACCTTGGGAACGGATCTTGTTCTTAAACTGGGGACTACCCGTATCTGTATTATTGATCCCAGGTTTGAATATATCATGGTAGGAGCACAGGTGTTCAACTATTCCTATTTTCTTACAAATCTACTATTCCTATTTTCTTACTCCTTGGAACATGGTTTGAAAAAAACTAAAATGTCATGATTGTTATTACCTAATAGGTGGGATATTATATTTAGAATCTGACAGAACCTGGTAGCTGGTATGTAATATTTGGACCTCTTCAAGCTGTGCTGTTGCCTCATGGAGGCAGAGTGAATGTTGTTCCTGAGAGTGAAGAATGCCAGAAGTGTATGCCAAGAGTATATACTCCCAACAGGGTCATCCAAGGCATGAAGGTCATCCCAGCTGCCCACCTAAAGGAGGCAGGCACCTATATTAGGCAGCAGTGATATAGGAAGATGCTGGAGACAATCACTTTAGTCTCAATGATAAAGGAATCATTTCACTCCGTATAGGAGAAGGCAATGGTAAACCAATCGTGTATTTTCCCAAGAAAACCACATGAATAGATAAGATAAAGTGATTGACGATATAGAAGATGATCTTCTCAGGTCAGATGGCACTCAACTTGCTACTGAAGAAGACCTAGAGATCTGTCAGAGTACCAATAATGTCTATGACATCACTAGATTAAAGTCTTTGATATGTTTAGTTGCTGATGTTGCCATGCAGGAAAAGAAAAATCTGAAGACAGAATTACAGTGGGAACATGGAACCTAGAAGCATCAACATGGGAATGCTCAACACAGTGAAAGATGAAATAAATCAATTAGACATTGGCATCTTAGCCATCAGAACTGAAATGGACTGGAACTGGATACTTTCAATCAGATCATACTGTTTACTACTCAGGACATGAAAAACAAGAAGGAATGGTGTTGTTTTCATAGTTAGGAAGGATATAGTAAGGACAATACTTGGGTACAATGCAATTGATGATTGAATAATATAAGTTAGACTTTATGGACAACCTTTTAATATGACAATTATCTATGTTTATGTTCCAACCACTGATGCAGAAGATGATGAGGTTGATTTTATGGTCAAGTTCAATCTGATATCAACAGATCATGTAGGTAAGAGATGCTTCTTGTAGCTGGAGACTAGAATGCTAAAATTGATAATACTAAGGAAAATGTAGTTGGACTGGACTGGACTGGACTGGACTGGACTGGACTGGACTGGACTAGACTAGACTAGATTAGATCTAGGAAACAAATGAAGCAGGAGAACAACTTAA